CTAAACTGGAATTAAAATGTTCCTAAACCAACTATGAATATTTCGTACTCTGCCCAAATCAGGTGAATGAGGAAATTATGGTTACTACATAAATAATTGCTAGATTAAATACAAGCATATTTAGCCATTTATCTCTAAAAAAGGTTTTGAAGAACAAGAAGTAAACATAAGCAAACAATTCTTTGAAGTACACTTTCGTCTATAGAGAATTTCATTGACAAAAGCATACTATCCAGATTTATACTACACTATAGAAGCATGATGACTTGGGCAAAAACGTGAATGCATGATAATTACTGTTTACCACATGCAACCTAGTGTGGCTTTAATTTTTATTTAAGCTCTACTGAGCGTCTTGAAGCCTACTTACCATAAATATAAGTGACCTATTTTTCGCTTAAGGTACTATCAATAAATCGGAAATATGAGATCTATTCACTCTATTTCGTTTAAGGTTATGGAAGACTGGTAGCTGAATTTTCCCACAATGATATAAATAGAGCTGAATTCTTCATTGAATCTCACACGTACAAGTAGTCAGAATTTCCCATCGCCAGGGATTCATCCAACTTTTGTAAGGTCAACAAAAGCTCAGAATACTGTCGTTCGGTCTATATGCTTCTGACGTGGGTGTACATATGTGTTTTTAGTTTCTCGCTCCTCACGACTAACATCTACATTAGCAAGTAAATTCTTAATTGTTGAAAATGATAGCGAATTTAATCTTTGACACGCCCTTAAGCATAGGAGACATCGGATCGTGTTTTGCCATGCAAAGTAATTAGAAACTTTGTTGTACGTATTTAGAAACATTTATTTCGACATAATGTTTAGCCATGAATGAATTGAAGCTACTGATGAACATAGTTTCAACTTATCTCTCTAGGTTTCCCTCGCGTTAAGGCGTGAGTTTATCTTGAATTCTATCTTGGTATAGTCAGTTCGCAGCTAGATTCGAAGTCAAGCGTCGACATGCTGCACCCTCGAGCTTGCGATCTCAGCATTGTTGCAGCGTAGAACATGCATTATTGTGATCACCTGTGACGCTTTCAATATTCCATAATCCAGATCCATACACTCGTTCCGAACCGATAGCCTTCTTAAAGCTATAAATTTTCTCAACAACCTCCAGCAGGAACTTGATGACAGGTTGTAAACAGCTCTCAGTCTGAGGATTATAATCAGTTTTTGCATTTTGCTGATTGATAATCTGATCACGATAACTTAAATGGAAGACTTGATGTAAGGCCCCTTTTTTACAGTTGCATATGCTGTTAATAAAGAATGGTAAACATTTGTGATGGAACCGTCTAAAATGGGCTCTTGATTATTGTCTTGTCTCTCTCAAATATTTCAATGTACCTCCTTTACAGGGCTGAAATGCTATTGTAGGTTACTTTGTGCTAACCTACACGCAATGTCATTTGGGAGACTAGACAATGTTAACTTTAATGGCATCGTGAGTCTCCATCGTAGAAAGTTCATTCACCTTACGTAGCTTAAAATGAATAGGGCTTCTTTGCATGATCTACTGAAAGTATTGAAATCAAATCAGTTCAATCTGTCTAAAACTCTAAAGCACGCAGCATTCTGAATTGTTTTTGAAGAAAATGCATCTGAGGCTTCATTTTTATTTTTTAGGGATTCTGCAGTTTCTGTTAATTTTCTTTTCATCCAGGACGGTATTTGAACATTCGTTTTGGTTCCTATCGGGGATTGAAATATATTCCTTGATTAGCGTTCAGCCAGCCTTGAGCTTATTTTGCTATTAAATTGCTAGCTTCAGAGCCAAGCTTCAGGAGAATTGACCTAAACCCCCATATATAACCTCTTCATTTGTGGCTCATTTGTTTTTCTAGCAGGTCTTCTAGAAAAGCCATTAAAATTGTTTGAACTTATGAAGAGTTTTTTAAGTGATTTTGGTCAAACAACTTAATCATAGAAAAGAATGAGAACTTATTCATCCTCTATCGCTTTATATGATTTAAGGACTGATAGCTAGATTGTCCCATAATCACATGAACATACCTTACGATACCATTGAATTTTGCTTAGCTTTTTCTCCCAAAAGCTTACCTATCAAGTATGGGCTACATTTCCAAACAAGTCCAGGTTTAATTACCAATTCCCAGGGGATTTGACATCGGGTCGTGAGTATTGTGGTGATGCTACCACTTCACTGCACAGCAACTGGCGCCATTAGATCACAGAGCAGATGTTACATCCATGGCAAGCAAGTCTTCTGCACGCTCACATTTATTGGGGGATTCAGCAAGCATGTGTTTGCCGTTGCATTCGACGAGATTACTTATTTTCGAGATGATTGATTTGATAGAACGTGAAGAAGAGACTAACGCTGTCACGATACTTAAGAGCAGATATCGAATCCGCTGAGGGATACTGATGAGGTCTGGTTGAGATGGCAACTGCAGTCCAGCCTTGATGAGATTGGGAGACAGCTCATAACTCAGTCATTAATTCACTTTAAGTGATCTAGGTTGATTAAGTTCTAATTATTGATAATCTCGAAAACGAATCATAACGAAAATAGAACTTGGCAATTCGGCCTAGGTTTTGTATAAATATACTCGAAATCCAATGCCCAGCTTACCAGAAGAGGCCCCAGAGCTCTCTTCTCAATGTGTTCACTAGTCGAATGCCTTAAGCTGATTTAGTCAAAAATTACCCATTTTGCTTCATTGCTTTTAGAGAAATTCGCAACTGCAACCAAATTTTCCTACTTGAACTCATACAGTTATGAGCGAGTATCTTAAAATATTTTGATGCCATATTTCCCTGGTACAACCTTTCAATATTAAAACATTTCTGCTAATTAGCTACACTAAATAATAAGCCTTTCTCACAATGATTGTCAAGACAAATTGGCTTACAGGATAGTATAGAAACAATCATAAGTCCCTCAAATAATTCATATAAAGGAGCAATGCAGTCAATAATTGGTGCTGCTTTATCCCTATCCGATTTAATCTCATAAATAAGAGCTGTATTTACCCTATATCGTTTAAGGTGAAACTGAATTGGTAGTATAATTTTTCCATAATAATATAAATATACCTCAGGTTGCCATGGAACTTTCCTTAGTCTTGCTCCCAAAAAGGTATTCTTATTAAGGTTATATTGTAGTTTCGACCTTTTGGAGATCAAGGCTATATGAAATTTATTGGAATCATAAGGCCTACTTATATCATTGCGGGAAAATTCAACTACCAGTCCAACATCATCTTAAAAGAAATAGGGTGAATACAGCTCTTATACAAGATATATTGATAGTCTCGAGAACCTACTTATACAATGAAAATAATCTTATAAAAGCTAGTCATGGAGCGATTCTAAGACTTTTTCTTTACTTAAATTTTTAAGTCTGCATATCAACCTATCATTTCGGGATTTCCCAACGCAAGAACACTCCGAAAGACGCAAAATCACCTCAACGACTTTTCACCTTTATGATTGTGAAATTAGACGTTCAGTGAATAGACATTAATGGATAAAATTCTTGCAAAAATACCGTTCTTCTATTAAGAAGGAGGATGGAACGATGTCTTCTTTTTTAACTGATTTTGGACAAATCTCACTTTTGTTATGTAGAACAATTTATGCTACAGGGACCGTTGCTCGACCCTCAAGGAATTGCTTTAAAAACGGACTGATTCACATACCCTATTGACGATCCACCTGCTTTCAAATGCGCTCAGCACAAATCAAGCCGCTGCAATCGTTGGGCCGAATTACACCAGTGTCTTCTGATGTTTGCTCATTCACGGTTCCGGACACTATAGGCCCCAGCCAGTAGATGTTTACGGTAGCCCATTCATATAATCAATTCCTCGTATCTGATCTACTCTTGACTGGCATTACTGCTATTCTTTCCCTCACGCTACAATATGAGTGATGATACCAAATAGTTATTGCTTTAACACTTAATTAGCCCATATGCAGGTTCGTGAAACAGATTAATTTTTACGTATCCAATATTGAAGTTTGTTTTAAAAAGGTCCGTAATAGTTTAATGATAAATTTAGCTTCCTGAGATCGCCTAAGATGATTTAAGGAATGATGACGATGGCACCTAAGCCATCATAGAAAGTCATTAGCTTCAACCGTTTTGGTGACAAGTAGATATTTGTGCCATCGAAAATTCCATTATAACTGTGATTTAAAAAGTAGTATCTGCTTAAGATCCTCAAGAAGATTGAAAATACCATCTATCCTAAATGTGGAGATTGTTTTAAAGGCAAGATTTGGCTGGCCTCAATAGCATCGTTGCCCAATTTTTTCGATTGTGGAAAGTTTTTCTGTTAATCCCTCAATGAACCTATGCAGCCTATGGAGGGCTACTTTCGTTGTGCCGTAATCGGCTTACTTGCCTAGTAACTCACTGTTTATGTAACTTAATAACTTGATAGAAATGCTCCTAATAATTTGATCTAACCATTGGACACATTTTCTGGTTAATCCACTTTGGATGGCTAAACTCCCGGTGATGATTGCCTTGCATGTCAGCCATGCACAAGTAAATCGAAAAACTCCTAAAATTCTGGAGTATGCCTTTTATAGTCCACTTCACCTCCCTCAATATTTATTGGACACCTTTAAATTGCGCCTGAGTTATCTTTCTATCCTAGTCCCTTGAGCCAAAAAGGATCGGAAACTATGTCGAGTTAAATAGTTTTTCTTTTTATTTTCCTCTTTTATGTATACAGTCTCTCCCGGATGGCTTCAATTGCGCCTGTCTGCCTGGCTATACAGGTCCACGTTGCCAAGAAAGGTCTCCTGATCCGTGCCATCTAAGTCCAGACCTTTGCCAACATGGAGGTATCTGTGTCCCACGCTGGTCTAGTCTTCGCAACGTGAGCACTCAACAGCAGCACGTAATAAGTCCCGAGGCCCATGGCTACTTTTGTCACTGCCCATCTGGCTTTTCTGGGCAACATTGTGAAACACCTCTCCCAGGCAAGCTTATATGAAGATTTTCTAGAACTAATGAGCCTAATGAGTCTAATTGCCTAAATTTTCAATGAGATGCACCCACCATACCAGCAAAGCTTTTCTCATTCTAATTGTATGGCAGATTCAACCCTGCCTGGGTCTCATAAACATGGTCAGGGTGGTTCGAACCGTGGATGTACGGATTCAGTAGTAATTGTGCTATACCGCTTGCACAAATGGGTTTTACAAGAGGACTTCCACCTAAATCGCACACCAACAGTTCGACTAATATCTGTGACTCTGTTGAGGTCCAGGCAAGAGCGAAATTGGAGTCCATACTGAATGAGAAAGACCCTTTTGGATCCATGTAAATTGTAATAACAGTAAATTGTGATAACTTTAAGTTAGAGGATATGGTATGCTTTTGAAGAATAAAAAGGGGAACTTTGTGTAAACGGAGGCAGATCTAAAGTGATCACAGCATCTGAAGATCTGTCTATATAGTTAACTTCATTACAAGACAGAATAGCGTATGCATATGAGTTTAAGAACAGCTAAACAAAGAAAGCCCTATCCCAGTTAGTAAAAATGCAGTGATACAACGACTGGTGAACTACAGTCTTCGAGGGATTTCTTATAGCCTTCAAAGGTGAAGTTTCAGTATTATTTGGCTTTTGCTAAACTTTTATACTTGTTTTGTTATCAAAAAAGTTGCTTGAAACTTTATACTCTTTCAGAAAACTGCACTTTTAGTGACTGGGATATGGCATTCCTTGTTCAACTGTCTTTGAATCTTGGGTGCATATACTGTACTGTTTTGTAATAAAAGTAACTAGATATACAGATCCTCAGCTGCTGTGATCACTTTAGATCTGCCTTCGTTTTAATATGGAGCAAAGTGAATTTCCCTTCATTCTGACTTAAAGTTGTGTGGAAGATGATGAATTTTCCAATAGATGAACGATCCCAAACATGCGCCAACGCTGTGTTAAGCCTTTTTGAAGCCAAAGGAAGAGCAGTGAATACTGACATGTATCGCTTCTCCTCCAGAATCCCCAGTCCTCCATCCGATTGGACATCTCTGGAAACAGAGGGAAAAAGCAAAGCATACTACAACATCACAAGAAACATTCTATGACTTTCTTAAAGGGTGTTGGCATAATGGGCATTCTCAAACTATGCAAAAACTTGTCGAATCTATGGCAGACACATTGTAGGCGGTACTTAAGGCAAGAGATTGTCATACCAAAGTGAGGCATTTTTAATGTTAGTAAATACAACGAAACTTTTCTTGACTTGCATCAGTGAACGTACATTAGTTGCGTCGAATATGATTGAACTATTATGTTATCTATTTTGGGTATTAAAAACTGAGTAAAAATTTGTATTATTTTTTTTATAAATGCTGTTATAAACACAGTCCTTAGTGATTTGACTCAGAACTTTGGATCCTATTTACTCAAATTCACATACATATATGCCTGCATGCATAAATACATAAACACATACATACACACATGCACACATACATACATATATACACACATGTATACATACATAAATAAATAAATACATATATGCATACATAGAAACAATCAGATAGACAAACATACAGACATACATGCATGCAGACATAAATGCATTATTTTAAGTTTATTTTAGGCCGTCTGCAATACTTGCATTAACATACGTAAATGCTGCATATAGTCAGGTCTTAATGGGTCTTTTTCCTTCTTCAAACAAACTGAAATATTCGCAAAATTCTACAAATTCAGCTAATTTCAGTCCCACTTTTGCAGTATTAAACCGCTTTTATATTCTCGTATTCAGCTATCCTCGTAGTGGCCATACAAATCCACCCTTGCGTTTTTTTACATTTTGTTTGGCAAAACCTGAATTAAAGCCTAAAAGGTGTATCACTACCTGAACGGTAAACTTACTTCCAATATTTCTATGAGTATCATAAGGGAGAGTTTTACCACTATTCCGTCTATTTTCCAAGCCTCGTGATCAGATTTATGAAGCATCCCAGAACTTTTATCCAAATTGCCGGAAATAATGAGGCAACGTTTTCTGTCTGGAGATCGTATAGATCGGCCTTCATTATGAATTATATGTAAAGTTATAAAGAAAAAAGTGAACTTTTATGACATAGCGAAACAAGAGACGAATATTTCTAATTTATGATTGAGATTTTACCAAAGTAAGAACAATTTTATTATTTCCATGGACAGAAATTCCCATTTTTCATACTGTGGGAGGAGTTTTATTACCTATCCTACCTTCTTAAAGATTCATAGAGGAGAAACTATCCAGCTGCATGCAAAATAGTAAAGTAAAGTCTCGTAATGCCTCATAAAATAACTGTATCAAAATGTTCATATATATATATATATATAGATATATATGATGTATAAATATTTAAATAGGAAGAAGTTTTAGGACAAAATAAAATGAGACAGGAGATAAGATAATGACAACGTTAGAGCCCAAAGTCATAATAAGCAGCTGAATAGATGAAAAAGTGAGCTGGGGAATAGATTAGTTCATAGACAATGGGATAAATAGGGAGCTAAATATGGATAAATAGAGAAAGAGACAGTGGTAGACGGTTGGTAAAAGTTAATTGAGATTTCAGTGTTAGTAATTAGGCATAAATTGTTTAAAATGAAAATCAGGCTACCCAAAAAACACGCAATGCTTATGCAACGATATGATCAGTAAGAAAACAAATCTTTTTTTGTTAGACATTTACTCACATTTTATTGTGCATTTAACCTTATGAGTTATGATTTTGTACTACAAATGTATTAAAGAAATATATTAGCAGGATAGTTTATGAATTATTGAAATTTTGGCCAGCATGAATCAATCCATTACTAGTACATTGGAAGGGATATATCACTCTTATTCTTTATTCCAGAGTTATAATTTGAAAAACACAAACTTCTAGATATTTTTCTCTAAGTGACATACTCTCAACTTTTAATCCGACACTATGTTTTTTGTATGAAATATAAACCCATTTAAAAGCAGCTCTGCAGAGAACCCTTCATAATTCTAATTATACAAGTTGGGGACCAAAGACTCTGCAAATATAATTGATAGTCCTTTTCAACTGACTTTATAGATCCGAAACTCGAGCTTTTCTGTAGTTGTCTCAGAAACAAGTTGCTCTGCACTCTAGAGAGAAGTGAGTATAATCTCCGAGTGAATATAAGCTACATCCGTTGTAGGCTAAGGCATGAAGGGTGGAAAATTGTTGATGTAGATCGATCACGTGGTTAGCCCAGTTCAGACTCCCCAAACCTTTCCAATTTGGCAGGCAGATAGGAAACCAGTGCTTTTTAATATCGGTTTTTCAGCAGGTCTTCTTCACATTCAATGTATGGAGGTGAACCTATCGCAAGTTATTTCCATAATTCATTAATCCTGGCGTAGGAAAGGCCGTATTGCCCAATGCACACACAACTCACAATTATCCAAGAGGTGGTTGGTCTCAACGCCACCAGATGCAACACACTAAAGACTATAACTTGCGTCTTTTTGAATATGAAGCGTAGTTTGTGTACAAATAGCTCATCCCTCCATGCAACTATTGATGCTCATGGATCATTCAAAAGCATGTTATACCTTTAAAAGTAAAGTTATTTCTGTCTTTAGCATAGTTCTGAGTGAAATTGGCATCATAAAAAGGCCTAAATGACTATATGCTTGCACTTGGCTAAACTATTATAAGTACCAAGTGAACGTGCACTGAAACACTTTCATGTATGTATACTTCTAATGTTTTTCCTAATTATTACAGTTTGTGGAGCCAACATAAATGAACCACCGGAATCCGGTGAACTCTCTTTCTATTACAACGCGTCGAATGTTCTCAGCAATCTTCAATCTCCGTGCATATATACAATAAGAATACCTAAAGGAAAGGTGAGTAAGTCAAATTGAAATAAAAATTTGCTGAAGCCACATTTTGACTAGATTGAAGAGGACCCAATGAGCAGTATGACAAATTGATACTACCTACAATCTTATTACTTTTTATATTCAAATATACTGATGGAATTTTTTTCCGATTCTAACAAGAGTCGACAAAATCAGCTTGAAATTAAGGTTACGCTTATCAAATATTTCATTATTTAGCCAAGGGACCCCCTTTCGATGGCCTATAAAGCAAATATTACTATGAGAAAACTGGCGGGTGTGGCTTCACCTGTAAGCCAGAAAATCTCGTTGACCTTAAGTCGTGTAGTATTGGCTTTGCCTCATTTTCTCAACTTGTTAGTAGTTGTTTGTTTAGCAAGCATAGTCCCAGCTTAACAAGTGATCTCCTTTACACCATACCATTTGCCTATTTTTCCACAAGCATTTGCTCTAACGGAGGCCAAACCGTGAAATTTGTTCTATGCTAATTTCATATGATACTGGCAGTACACACAGCCTAATCGAAGTGGAGATTTGAACACTGCCATTCTGATAAACTAGTCTCTATCGGTCATAATTTCGCAAGTTACGGATGTTAAAATCCTACATCAATCAAAGAAAACTCCTGGGACAGGCTCATTACTTCGAAGCAGTGAATTTTTATCAGAAACAATTGTGTTTAAGAGCATAAAGCTGAAGTAAAAAAAGAATTTATTTGTATGTATGAACAACGAGGTGATGTACAATCGTAGTCTTCTTTCATTCTATAAAATTTTTCTGTCTTCGCTTTTCCAACTTCATCGTGCACTCGATGCAATCTCGAATTAACTGTCATATTAGTCAAATAATTTGAGCAGTTTTATTAAGACGCACTAACACTCCCCGAGACTGTCCTCTCCTATTGATGTATAAGCTTTCTTTTCTTATTTAAGTGTATGATGAAGAGATACTTTGGTTGATCTCAGCACAAGATGACACCTGATTCCCGTTTTTCTGCAGTCGTGAAGCTGCAATATGACATTCAGTTGGTACATTCCAAAAGGCAACCTGACTCATTTTGGGTAAAACCAAGCCTAGCTTTCGTCTGCCATATGACGGACACCTTCAGAGC